CCCCCCCCCTCTCTCTTTCTCTCCCCCCCATCTCTCTCTCTCTCTCTCTCTCTCTCTCTCTCTCTCTCTCTCTCTCTGGATGGATGTGTGAGCGCGAGCACACATGCGTTCATACACGTGTGTGTGTGTGGTGAGAAGGCGAGTTCAAGTCTTTGATCGTACCCCACTGCCTGTTTAAATCTTTTATGAAAAAACCTTGGAGTGCATGTTGACCACCCTTGCTTCTCCTAAAAATGCAACGTTTGTTTGTATAAGAAATTACAAAAAAAAAGAAAACATTTCTTTATCACATTTTCGCCCCATATTGTTCTTTTTTACCTGGTTCTTCTAACCTATTTCCTTATAGGGCTAACGCCACGGTGTCTGAATGTGACAAAAAGCGACCACTGGCGACGCGGATTAAATATCATACACATAAATGAAACATATAAAGACGCCTTTGATTGATGTCACAAATATGATACCGGTTTAGGTTTATACACTAGTGTGTGTTTGCGGTTGTGATCGTTATTGAAAAGATAAGCGCGAAAAACAAAAATCACCAGCCTGTCTTAAATTACTTTTATCGCGCACTGATGACAAATTATCGAAATGAGAGTAGGCAGTGGTTTAAATATTTGTTATTTTAACTAAATCAACAGTCAAAGCTAATGTCTACACCTAAGCTTTTTATCAAGGTTCATGTACTTTTAAAGTCAATCTTAATCTATGCGAATCGAAAGTTGGAAAGTTTACATTTTATTCATAGCTGATGACTCAGCGCTGACTTACTTCTTAGACATGAATGCTGGCATGAATTAAGCACTAAGCCAGCGCTACAAGTTGTGTATCATTGAATTTTTTTAAATCCTCATTGCCAGCAACCGCATAATTTGGGACAGAAAAACAACAACAAAAAAGCATTACCACTTTCATTGTCATAGGTTGTATTGCAAGTGCTCTTTCCACCAACCACGTACAAATTCATTTGTCCATTCCCCGTCTGACTTTTAGCAGCCTAACTGCTCTTTGTTTTCTATACACCCCTATTTACTTTCGATCGTGGGGCCTTATCAAGACGGCGGTAATGATGACAAGACTGCTACTGATTATCCTGTAAACCACGGGCCGTTTTCTCAGGAACAACATTAAAACGAGGTTCACATACATAACCAAAGAAAGGTGACACCGCACGCGCTATCAAGCGCCTTTTGTGTTTAAAAGACGTTCAGGTGAGATTTCGGTCCCGTTAAAAAATGTTAATGCTGTGGCAGTATAACAAACATAACATGGGCTTTAAAGTTTTATAAGCTGATGCTTGTAGAGTTTTAGCACGCGCCAGAATACTACAGACCACTATTGGGTGGATTAGCATGGAGAGGGGAGTTAAGATTATGATCAGCTGTACACGACAGTATTTGTGCACGCACTTAATATATACACGGTAGTGGAGTTTCTGATGTTTAAGCGTGTGGGTCATTCAGGCATTTTTAATGTCGTCACATTTAATAATTATCGGTCTCAATACTCGATGTAAAGAGTTGTACGTTAAACAAAACATGTTTAAAAGTAAAACAGTATTGGGCACGGTGATCTCCTGAAATCCAGCAGTTTTCTAGCAAGGGTACATGTAGCCAACACAAAGTAAGGGATGACCTAACAGTGTATTACAATATGATAATCTATAATGATATTGAGCAATCGTGTACAACAGAGTTGAGCAGTGCAGCACGGTGACGGTTGAACGTACATTTGACAGTTGTATAGGTGACAATACTCTGACTGCTGTGGCACCATATGTGGGTTAAAATTAAGTCACTTTCACCTTTGGATGAGTGCTAATTAGATCTCCATGTACTGAGACCCTCTTTATACTGGCACTACTAGTATTGTAGAATTTAAACGCATTATTTTGACCTAAGCCAGTTAGTTATCTTATCTTAAGGAAATTGCACTCATTTGAGTAAACATAATATGTAAACAACTTAAATTTCCTTCTTCTTTGTTTATCTACAGTCTAAAGGTGAAATAATTCTTTTCATTTTTTGACAGGAACCTACTTTTATTAAAAAAAAAAATACTGTTATTTGCGACCAATGCACTACTCGTGACCTACTAACATGTACTAGTGTGAGTCAAACACGCATTCCATTTTATTCTTCGAGAGAGCCCAAATTATTCTCATTACATTCAGTTGCACAAGCGAAGGTGTGTTTTAATGATCACGAGACTTTATTTTACTTTCATTTTGCTTCTGGCTCTACTTTATAAACAAAAAAGATGCTCGTTCTTTTTCGTTCAACAAGGGCCACTACACGTCGCTGATATATTATATATTTTTTCTTATATTTTAAATGTGTTTTTTTTTTCGGCGAAGTTCTATGAATACTTGTCAGAGACCTCTGATGAGCGGGTACTTTAAGCCCTCATTCCTAATTGTGTATCATTTGAACATCGTGTGTAGTAGATATCATTGGCATGTCAAGAGTACGGGTATCAACTCCATTAGTTCATAAACACTGAAAAGAAGCGGTATTATATTTTACATCAGTGAAAAAGACGGATAGAAACAAAAAGATTATTATTAAATTATTTAAAAAAAAGAGAAAATGAGATATTAGGTAGTCACAATTTCAGTTATACCGGTACATTAGATATGTAGACAGAGAGATTCATCAGTGAATGAAAAAAAAATAATAAAAACAATTTTATGAAATTATTGGTGATTGTCAGGGATAAAAAGCAATTAAGTATTCTTCACGTGCGAGTTGAGTGTGAATTCAGGATTAAAGATCATTAAATGGGCGAAGGTTATCTGAAACTGAAAACAATGAGATCAGGTCAAATATAAGCATCATGTGCTTAGTGCAAATAAAATCAATTTTTTTCAGCTCGAAATCTTCCTAATCCCAACATGATCCAAGGTTACCAGAGCCTTAGCGACGACAGCTCAAATTATGACAGAATTATACACCTTCTTATGGAGGAGGGGACCAAGCGCGTGCGGGAGCTATTCTTCTCCGCCATCCCCAAGGGTTTAACCCTAGAACACTTTCTCCAGCTCCATCAGCAAGACTTCCAAGACCTGCGCCAGAAGAACATCATGTCGTCCCCACAATACGCTCTCTTATTTCCGCGGCCCGCGGGAACTCAGCCGGACCCGATGCATTTTGATATCTCACTCCTTGTGATTCTTATTCGGTAAGTTTTTAAGCTGTTAAATGTTTGTCAACCTCGACATTAACTCTTGCTTATAATGAAGCGTCCTGTGGGTTATAACACTTCGGGGTATTTCTCTCTCAATATCTTTTTTTCCCGCCATGTTAAGTCACTCGTACCCCTCCTAATGCGACCTAGTTCAAGAGATTTAACTGTAGCCATTTATTGTCCTTATTTTTATTTGAAAAAGCAGACATGAAAAATTGTAATATCTGCCCATAAAGGTTACGTCAGTGGTATGATTTTTGGTTTTCTGTTTACTCGCATGGATATCTAATCATTTCCAGATTATTTCACTTTACCTTAGTGCCAGAGTTTATAGTCAAAGTTAATTACTTTCAAAACTGCACGATGAATGTAACAAAAACAATACTAGAGATAATCAAAAGTGATTTGTCCTCTCTCATACCAGCAATGTCACGAGTGGTGGACAGAACGTTTCTTGGAAAGGTCGACCGAAGTCTCACGAGACACTTCCCGAACATGACGTCATGAGGATACGTAACCTGAGGAATACCCTCTATCACAACCCCTCCAGAACTCTCTCTGGCAACCAGTTCTGTAAACTCTGGGAAGAGTTAACGGGTAAATTATTTAACTCTTGGGTTTTTATGCACTTACAAGTGCTTAAGAGAAACTTTTACTCTTCATTTTTTTTTTGTTTCTCTTAATTTTGCATTTTTTTCATCGAAAAAATTGACATTTTGATTATTTATCTAAAAGATTGAATATTATTATTATTATGAATATCAATATTATTTAACCAGTGCTAATAATAAAAATATAGAAGTTGCGCTTGTAAAACGCCATGGACAGATATCACATGACAAGCACCTTGAATCTGCAAATTTATACAAAAAGTTGATGAATATAAGACATTTTTTTCCTGCATTTATCCACATTCATACAGACAAAAAAATGATATTTGACAGTTTTAACTGCCGTTGCCTTTCGTTTTAGATGCGTTGTCTCGTCTTGGCACTCCTGATGACGTCATCCAGTATTACGCCGACCGAGACCTGGACCCGGAGACAACCAAAGCATGCCTGTTACAAATGAGACAGCAGAGCATAGAGGAACAACACGCCGTCTACATCCAGGGCAAGAAAAACACTCGGTCTATGAAGAGGATCTGCCTCTCCTTTGGCGTATTCTTCACTCTGGTTTTCGTGGCGTTGGTATGTGTCGTTGCTTTTGTCATTTTACCGGGGCAACACCCCTGCAAGATGGAACCCGAATGGATTAATTGGCCGGACGACTACAGTAAGTTCTACAAACTCTACCTCTGTCTGTCTGTCTGCCTGTCTGGCTGCCCTGCCTCAAGCTCCTGTTTACCTATGTGTCAGTTACCAAAAAAGTCATATGGATCGAGAAATGTCGCAGAGTAGATGAAAATGTGTGTAAAGAAAATCACGCCAACTTTGTGACGTCGGCAATGACTTAATCACTGTACATTTTAACTTTTTATCCATGATGATAGTTGACACGTTTAACGTTTTTTCATCTTTTCACAATTTTTAGATTCATACCTCCAGTTTATGCCCCGTGCGGGTTGGGGAGCACGCCACTCCCAGCACGTGTTGGAGCCGTTCCACCATCTTCCTCTTAACACCACCATCATCTATCACACTGCCAGTATAGAGTGCACCACTAACGAACTCTGCTGCTCTGTCATACAGAAAATACAGCTGGACCACATGGAGACGTTTCATCGTAAGTTTCGTTTTTCTAGTGCATTTGTAAAACATTTAATTACCAATATTGTATATTTTATTGGCTAAATAAACATCTGTTTTAATTTAAAAGTCAACGATTGCGACAGCGTAAATTGCTGTGTTTGCATATTTTAAATTCTTCTTAATATTTTGAGTTTGAAATGTTTCTCTCGTTTGGACTCTAATCACTAACAAGATTGAAAGCAGAAGTTGGTTAGAGGATAAAATGACCGCAGCCAGCCTATTCCCTAACTTCCACATTTATTGTATTTCAGACTGGGACAACATCGGGTATAACTTCTTGATCGGAGAAGATGGCGTTGTCTACGAAGGAAGAGGATGGGACTTCATAGGCGCTCATACACCGACGTGGGTGGAGTTTGTCCAGAGAATGGCTCCATGAGGGGAGATGGCCGGCTGTTTTAATTAAAAATGATGTGGGGGTACCTTGATTACCAAACAATTCAATTCTGGGTGATTGGGGACTTCATTTTCTCTCTCTCTCTCTCTCTTACATGTACTCTCGCAATATGTATGTCTTTTGCTGGATGGTAAAATGGTCTTTTTTTTACTGCAGATGGAACAAGAAATCAATCGGTATTGCTATGATAGGAAACTTCTGCGACCATAAGCCAAACAACATCGCCATGGAGGCCCTTATCAACTTGCTCAAGTAGGTGTTTGGTGCTTTTTGCAGAATATATAGATATAAATGTAGCGTTCATTGCCTTCCAAAATCCGGAGGTAGGTTCAGGCCCCGTCTCGCACGATCTCTCGCGAAAAATTGAGAGAAAGACCGATCTAAGGCCTATGGAAACACTCCTTAGTGTCCCCAAAACGCACCATATTGTTAAAGACATTTATTGTTGTATGGCAGGGTTGTATGCTGAGAAAATTCCTTACGGGGTTGCGGGGAAAGGGGGGGGGGGTAACTGTTAAGAGCCTTCAATACATACAAGCAAGTTATATGTGTATTGCCCTTGGTACTCATGCAGATCCTGACAAAGGAAAAGCAAGGGACTTTGGATGGATTGGAACTTGGCTACTACACCACACAACCTGCGGGTCGGTTTATGATAATGGCGGGACAAAAATTCAATATGAACAGATGCATGTAACTCTGATCTTTTTCATATTTCAGATATGGCGTTTACCTGGGTAAGCTAGATCCAAATTTCTCAGTGCTTGGCCAGTGTCAGATACGAGAAAGACAAGAAAGTCCTGGAAAATACCTCTATGACGTAATACGAAAGTGGCGGCACTGGGTAAGGTCAAATAAGGTCATCTAAAGGTTTCTTGAGTTAAAGTAACATTTTCATTTACACACTTTGAATACATACTGGTTTCAGCTGAAAAAAGATTTCAAATCATGGTATTACTGCTAAAGTCTTGGTGCAAAAAATTAATACAATAAATTGTTTTTGTCTGCGGAGTTATATTGGGAAATGTGTCTTGCGATTTTTTACGAAAATACATGAAGGGTTTTTATTAATTTTTTCAGAGAGAGGCCCTTCCAAGTGAGTTTATCGGGAACATATCACTGTCCACAAACTGCACTTGCACCACCGATCCCATGTAAAAGTCAAAGATGTATAAGAAAATAAATAATAAGAAGAAAACAGGATCAGGGATATGTATATATGTACATTATATTATGATGGGGACGTGTATAGACAAAAGGATACTACCTTGGCTGTATTTAGGAATGGTATAGCGCACACTCTACTCATTCACCTTTTTTTTTTACCTCAATGCTTACTATATATGCATTAGGTTGTGAATAATATGATAAACAACAGAAATTCTCATTAGAAGAACTACCACGGAGCTATTTTTCTTGAAAAAATAGTCAAAGACAAGGTATAAGATTAAGACAGATCATAACACAGGGTGTATGAGATTCACTATAGTTACTTGTGATTTTGAGACACGCACATGCGCCTTTTTGCGTTTGGTCTGAGGGTATCAGTAATTATTTGAACATCAGGTCATCGTTAAAGTGCTATTTAACGCCAGTGTAACGTGACAGAGAGTCCCCCATGATAAAGAGTCCGCGCCCCTTTCATTTGTACAGGTAAGTCTCGCCCCAGATTTTGACTCACCTAGGTCAAGCTAACCCTAACCATAATAACTAAATGGAGGGCGAACTTTCTGTTACACGGACCCTCAGTTTCGTTACACCGCTATTGGTTTTGTACATACAACACACCTAGGGTAATTCTTTCATGTTGAAAACGTTGAAGGTTTATTTGTTTTTGCTGTTTTACCGAATTCAGATTACGGTGAGAACATTTTATTACTCACTGATAATTTGTATTTACCATTATTAAATACCCAAATGATATTTCTGTAATTTCATTGTGTCTGTTATTCTTTGTCGTGCGTTCATTTAGTTTCTGGTACCTTATATAGTTTAGTTGTCCACCAATTTAAATCGAGTTAAGCATATGTTGACAAAAGCATGTAGCTGGTGCCTTCATTCCAAACCGTATATCTGAAACAAAAACGACGAGGTGGCCTTTTAGGAAACGTCATTCTTGTTTTGGACACAGAAACCTTGGTCACAGAAACCTTGTTAAAGTACGAGGTAACCCGAGACAACTTTCAAGTATATTTAGAACTAGACCCTGAATTTAAGTAAATTAAGATTTTTCATTCACGGTACACTTAACACTCCCTCTGTATAAATTCGTTGAGAAGTTTTTACTTACATAAGAATTGGTAGCAATTTCTTTCCCTTCCTTGTTTTTTCGACAAACAAATCGGTTTAAGATCCAACTTTGAGAAAAAATGAAGAACCAGAGAAAATCTACCACGAAGCGTCTTATTGTTGCAGTCCTTTTAAAGTTTGAACAGATATAACTTCACGTGATTTCATACTTACGAAAATTACAAATACATGTACTTCACATGAGGGAAGCTCAAGTAAGTCGACAACAATCACATGTAAAGTTCACGACACTGGAATGCAGATTTTTACGTATCTGTTTTGTCATAACTACACAATAAAACTATAATGATATTGATATAATTTTCTTACATTGCCTAAAGCTGAATTTCACGATTGCATCACCCAAACAATCAGTTAAAAAGAGTTACGGCAACCGTCTACTCTGGTAATTACCAGTACACTTTAACTTCATTAATTTTGATTGGGATTTATTAAACACAGGAAGTTTGAACACAACCAGCTAGAAACAGTTTAAATTAGTTAAATGTAAGTTAAAGAAGGAACCAAGCTGAGTCTACTCCAAAATAAATGAAAATTATTATTACTTTTACTGCCAGACGGGGGTGCCATCGGCTTTGTGGATATGGGGTTTCAACGGGTTGTTATCAGGACCCTGAGTATAATAAATATAAGGCGGGCAACATTTTCCCTGGTATAAGCAAGGACCTTTGTTCATGCCATCACACCAACATCCGGTTCCGGTGGAATCTGGGATGACGTCATGGGAGTAGTAGAGCGCGCGCGGACAGCACATGTGGATGCCGCACTGACAGTTACAACCACACCAACAGCTGGAGCCACCACGGCAAGACGAGCTTCCACCAGCTGGGCCTGTTGGGCCCGTCGCACCATTTGGCCCTTGGGGTCCTGCAGGGCCGGGCTCGCCAGGGGCCCCGTCTTCCCCGTTATACCCCCTCGGACCAGTAGGACCTTGAGGACCTGGGGATCCCACGCCTGAGGTAAATAAAGGATATATTCATATAATGGATGTTGTAAAACATAATAATAATAATAATAATAATAATAATAATAATAAGTGTTATTATTATTATGCCAATTGGCTGTGCAGTGTTCTCTTCGGTGTTTGAATCTCAAATGTGCAGTTATCTAAAAAAGCATCACCGAATCTTAACAAAGTGGCATTTACTGATGTTCACATATTTTGCTTTTCACAAGGCAATAATTTCCTTTACAAAATGTCAGAAACAAGATAAGACACGGTAAACACTTTAATATATGTAAGAATATAGCCACGCTAACGCCACTTACCTGGCGCCCCTGGTTCTCCAGGACTGCCGTTCTCTCCAGCCGGACCTTGTGGTCCTGTGGGTCCTTGAGGCCCAGCACTGCCGTCCTCCCCGGGAAATCCGGCTGGTCCTTGCGGTCCTTGGGGTCCTGTTGGCCCCTGTGGTCCAGGCATACCCACACCAGTGGGGCCTTGTGGACCAGCGGGACCCTGGGGACCCTGTTCTCCCGGCCTGCCATCAGAGCCAGGGGAACCACTTTGACCCGGGGACCCGCTTGCTCCACGTGGTCCGGTAGGTCCGGCAGGACCCATCTGACCTGGCTCCCCGTTAGTTCCTGGGGTCCCTCGTGGTCCTTGTGGTCCTGTGCTTCCGTCACGTCCGGGTGAACCTTGAAAGATAAGGGGAGAGCAATATGACTTCAGAGGGCACCTAAAACTGTACTATACTTTTTATATGTGTACAATATTTATTACATTATAAAGAAACGTGTACCATGATGTTGACATCTACATGGATGATTCTTTGCATACCTCCACCGCCAAAGTATCACGTGAGAATGAAAGAAATGAAAGAAAGATACAGAAAGATATAGCCAATGAAAAAGGAAGAAGGAGATAGAAATTGGCCTGGAAATTTTAGCCCAACTTTAGTCTGTCGGGTAATAAGAAAAATGTACGACGAGAATATTACTTTTTTGCATAGCACATTTAACGTAATACATACCTTCAGGACCCCTGTCACCAGGTCTACCCGGTGCACCAGCGGGACCTTGAGGACCTTGTGGCCCCCTTGACCCCGTACTACCTTGTGGACCGTCTTCCCCGTCACTGCCGTCACGACCAGGTGACCCAGCCACGCCTCGTGGACCCTGCGGACCTGTACTACCAGGTGCCCCCGGTCTCCCAGGTTCTCCCTGGACAGACTGACCCCGGGGCCCTGTAGGACCGGTTGGCCCCTGGGGACCTGCAACCCCGGGTCTTCCTGCCGCTCCTATCCCACCGTCGTTACCGGGGTTTCCTCGTGGACCAGTGGGCCCTTGGGGTCCCCTAGCGCCGGGAGAGCCAGCAGGTCCGGGATTACCGCGCGCTCCTTGACTCCCTCCTGGACCTGTTGCGCCACGAGCACCAGGGCGGCCTGGTTCCCCAGGGCTACCGTCTCTGCCCCTGGGACCGGCTGGGCCTGTAGGACCTCGGTCACCCGCACGGCCTTGTGGTCCTTGACTGCCGGGTCTGCCTGGTTCACCTGAAGTATGGGGTGCGAGAAACCCTGTATTATTCTGTGCACGTATCAAAACAAATGTGCACTGTTGCTCATAAGTGAAGCAATGCCTTATTTTTTCAAAGCCTCTTTTAGTCTACTAGTGTATAGAGGTCATTATTTGAAATGCCACTGGGGCTGTGCATTTTTATCATACACATGTATTTGATAAATTATTCTGCAATTTAGTCATTACTTTTGGTATTGTCTTGCTGATCTTTTATTGAAGCCTAATAAAAAAACTGACGTTTTCCTAGAACAAATATTTAAAGTCTAATTAATTAAACGGACGCTCCCTTGATTTCTTTATTACCACATGCATGGACTTGACCATCGACTACTCAGGTAGTGAACATGATTTACCTTGGTGATAAAGGGTGAAACTGCTAAAATTTCTGGTTCAAATTCCTTTTTTTTTGCTGTATTCATTTTGCTACATACATTTTGCTACTATTGTATGGCTTTTATCAGCATTGCAGCTGCTCGCTCATCCTGCGCGCGCGCGCGCGCGCACACACACACACACACACACACACACAAAATTACCGGGACTCCCGTTTGATCCTCTGGGTCCTTGTGGCCCCGTTGGTCCTCTTTCACCTTGAGCACCTCTCGCACCCGGGTTCCCGCTTGGCCCGGTGGGGCCCCTAGCACCTACACCGCGGGGTCCTGTCGCTCCGGGGGCCCCATTTCGACCTGGGCTACCGTCCCTACCTAAAGACAAAGTATGGGGATACTGGACAAATATGCTATTTTGAAACTTGTAGGTTGTCTCATTAACTGATAAGAATTGAAAATCGCTCTTCTGAAATGTGCTTTAAGCTTCCATGCATATTGAGTTTCTGTGTTGGGAATGCTGTATGATATTTTTAAAACGGTAATGCAAAATATTTGTCAAAAGAAACGTAAACCCATATAACTGCATAGCGGCCATTTGTATAAGACGAAATATTTAAAAAAAGATAATATGCGATTTCTGCTACAGGTAAAGATATTATGACCACTGTCTGATCTTCACTTCTTATCCCCCTCCAAAAAAAAAAAAAACCCTACCTGGTCTGCCATTAGCCCCTGGTCTTCCTGGCTCTCCAGGTGCTCCCTGAGGTCCGGACGGGCCTCTAGGTCCGGCTGGGCCATCCTCTCCGTCACTACCTGGAGGTCCAGTAGGGCCACGAGGTCCGGCAGGTCCTCGGGCACCTGTCACACCCGCTCCAGTGGGTCCCCTGGGTCCCTGAGGCCCTGCACGCCCTGGTTCTCCCGGCCTTCCATTTGCTCCAGCGAAACCTCGTGGGCCAGTGGCACCGATGCGGCCACTGGGACCTTGAGGACCGGTAGGGCCTCTGGGGCCATCTTCGCCGTCGTTTCCTGGAGCGCCTGGTCTGCCTTGTGGTCCTGTCTGTCCGTTTCTCCCCGCTGGTCCTGTGATTTAGTACAGAATGAATACAACCTCCTACTTATCTGAGATAATTCTGTCTCTGTGTGAGAATGAAATAGTGTAAGTATGGCATGCGCACTGACCTTTTTTATTTTGTATAAGTCAGTTGACTATAGTAAATGAATAAACGTCAATTAATGTAAGTTGTCGTTTAACATCTTTTAAAGTCCATATGGTCTAGCTGAAAAATACTTTGAGAAATGAGGATATGCATGCAATACCATTTTTGAGTGGTTTGCAGAATATAAACCTGACGGTTGATGTAATTCTAATTATTCAACAGTTTAAAAGTATAATATTGAAATAACACTGTGAACCTCACCTGGGGGTCCCTGGCTACCTGGGCGACCCTGTGCTCCTTGGGCCCCAGTTGGACCCCGGGGACCCTGGGGACCCCTGGCACCATCCCTACCATCTTCACCATCAAACCCATCCCTCCCCCGGGGCCCAGCCGGACCCGTTGGCCCCTGGGGTCCAGTTCGACCAGGTGCTCCGGGCCTTCCGGGTTCCCCTTCCACTGATGCCCCGGAAGGTCCTCGTGGGCCAGTTGGCCCTTGAGGTCCTGTACTTCCGGGTCTGCCAGCACTTCCTGGTTCCCCTGGACTACCAGCACTTCCTCGTTGGCCTGTTGGCCCCTGCGGTCCTCTGGCTCCAGTGGAGCCAGCAGGACCCGGGTTACCACGTGGTCCTTGTCTTCCGGTAGAGCCCGAGGCACCTGTAGAACCCGGGCGGCCTGGTTCACCATCGCTGCCATCTCTACCGCGAGGGCCTGTGGGGCCCGTAGGCCCCTGACTCCCTGGGCGGCCTGGCTCCCCGGGAGAACCCGCTGCACCAGAGTCACCTGTTCAGTATGATTTGGAATGTGACACTATTGTCAAAAAATAATACACAATAATTCATTCTGTATGGAAAAATTGTTCAACGAACATCTTTTTCGTTCAAGGGTTAGAAGTAACACATACAAATAAACTGTGCATGTAACAACCATTGCCGATTTTTTTCTTTTAACGTAAGAAGGGGAAGAAGAATTACACATTCTCCTAGGTCCAGACCAAACCAAGCATACCTTTTGGTCCTCTAGGTCCGGCTGGTCCAGGTTCTCCTTCAGGTCCTGCCGGGCCTGTGGGGCCTGTGTCTCCCGTGTCCCCGCGTGGTCCAGTAGGCCCCACCAGGCCCGCACCCTCTGACCCAGTGGGCCCTACGGGTCCCGTTGTTCCGATCTCACCGCTTGGTCCTACATGTTATGAAAACATGGGGTACATGTATTATGGATGTTCGTTGTATATTAGAAAATATGAAATTACATAAAAATGTGCGATTAATCGGAGTTCCGTACTTTGAATATAACTAGTACTACCACTATAAATGATTTGTTAATAATTATCAAGATGTAACTGGTTGCGTGAAAACAACACCCCTCCCCCCCCCCAAAAAAAAAAAAAAAATAATAATAATAAAAATAAAAAAGAAAAAGTAACACGTCATGTGAGTGTCGTTTTTAATTGAATAGACAGCACTTTTGTCTGAACTCATCCCCTATCCTTCCCTTCCCTAGCCTTTGACCCAAGGCCATATGCCTGTGTTTACATATTTGCGCCCTGTCAAAATACGTGCAGTTTTCTTTCGTGATAGAATTGTCTTACGGTTCCTTTATATATCGCGCCCCCCCCCCCCAGTTCGTACCTGTGTCTCCCTGTGGCCCGGGGGGTCCCGGTACACCCTGGGGTCCTGGCACACCAAACCGCTCTATCTGAATCGTCATATCTGATAATATAGTGAAGAAGTTATTAGTTCTACGTCAATGATGATGGTTTGCAATGTGTTTAATTCTTCTTGCCAGTCCATTGATTCCACAATTGTATTTTATAGTTTGAAGTCTTACGTTGAAATCTAACCAAAAGAATTGAAGACGTTTTTGTAAAGTATGTTCACTGAACAATTTTTAAAAATAATGATTACTTTTGAAATGTGCATTTGTCAACAAGATAAAATCTTATTCTGTTAGCTCCTAGGATCTGATTTCAGATCAGATATGAAGGATAAAAACGCTTTATAAATTTAACTGCGGTAAAGTGTCGCTGATTTCTACAAACACTCATGTCAAGTGACGTCATCACTGCACTCACCTACGTCACAATTAAAGCCCACCCATCTCTCGGCGCAGTCACACCAGTAGCCGCCATTCGGGAGGGGACGACACACGCCGTCGTTCAGGCAGGGTTTGAGGATATCGCAGATGTTGTCTGCAATGAACGTCAAACGTAGGATAATTATAAAAGGGTGCAGCACCATACCGCAAAGAAACACCAGTACTAGCAAACATGTTTTAATTAATAATGAGGCTCGACCGCATTTAGATTGTTGATAGTTTATAGCACATAATGTAGATAACCGTTCAATTAAAACTGATCTTACAACACTTAAAGCCATATTTTAATATTGCAATAATAATAATAATAATTCCCCTTCATACTAATCAGCAAATCTGACATGAAAACCGTTGGAAAAATAAAGCCCGTCTTTTACACTTTCTAAATACTCACTAGTTTCACAGTTTGCCCCTGTGAACCCAACTGCCCTTGAACAGTCACAGCGGTAGTCATTGGCGCCAACAGGGATACAGCGGCCATTGTTTAGACATGGATCGCTGTCACAGGGAGACACCTCGGTGATCGATTTTTCTTCTAAAATTGAAAAAAAAATGCCAACCATCAAAATTTCAGTCGGAGATCAAATATAAGATGAAACACACAAAAAACCTTACTCCTAAAAGAATGACTTACGTTTCTCTGTTTGCAACAATAATTTACCCTAGAAGGTACAGCTAATGTACCAATGGCATAATATACAGTAAAAGGCACAATATTATGCTGGTTTACCAACTACACTCAACATCTCTACTTTATATAGAGAATAGTTTCATTTCACATATTTCTCCCCTTTCTGTTTCGTGCAGCAATGGTGTATATGCCTAAGCTGGAATCGCTTTTAACGTTCGGCTTCCCCGTTTTGCAGCAAGTTTTACATGAACTTTTATATCTATACCATATCTTTTTTACCCTCGTCTCACAACACATGGGTTTTATCTCCCCTAAGACTGCCTTACCTCGGTCACACTGAAAACCAGACCAGCCTGGAGGACATTGGCACCAATAGCCGCCGGACGGGAACGGGTTACACGTGCCGCCATTTTGACATGGGTTGACAAGATCACAGATATAGTCTGAAGATAAAAATAAAATAGTTATAAATTTTGACCAAATTTGAGCTGAAAGAGTTTGAATCAAGAAAATGGTGAATTTCTGCGCGTTCTCTACAAACATGAAAACTGCAAACCGACATAAAAATGTCAATAAAATATAAAAATGGCTTATAAGAACACATCTCATAAAAGCACGTAGGTCATGTTCAGATGTAAAGTAAATGCACTGCTTTCACTTCCGTTTCCCGTAAATATGATGTTATTTTTGAACAGTTATTAACAACATTCTTAAAAATACCCAATACAGTTCAATAAATAACTTATAGGTAAAAACATAAGAATAAAAAAGATATAAATTAGTATTAAAACCTTTAACTGTCCAATTTTATTCTCGTTATTCAACAACCCATGATACGTACTGGTTTCACACCTGGCTCCCGTGAATCCCGTGGCCTCGGAACAGTCACACGTGTAGCTGTCACCGTTGGGAATACAGCGGCCGTTGTTTAGACATGGGTCTGTGATACATGCGCTGATCATGATTGTAAACTGGTCTAGATGGCGGTACGAACAAATGGGAATATCAGAAGTCACAAGGAAGTCGAACATGAAAATGTTTTGAATTTCGTGTGGTGTAAAATAAGTTAAGTCCGTGTTTCAAATATGTGTGTTGATTAATAAGCGTTATTGGTTCAACACTATTGATATTTTCTACAAATAATATATCAGAAAAAAAGATAATATATGAAAGTTTTGAAATAAATGCTTGTAATTAAAACACTAGAGTGCATAAAATACCATGCTAAAACTTATAGCATGATTTTTAAAAACTCTGCGTAACAGTGTCGGAAAATCTTTATACATATGACATACGTTACGTACTTTCACAAAGATGGCCGACAAAACCAGCTGGACAGACACACCTGAACGCAGTGAACCCCATGGGAACGCATTGTCCGTCGTTAAGACACGGGTTGGGCGAACAGGCGGTGGCTGAAAAACAGGCACACACACACCAAAAAAATAATTATCAACGAAGAAAATGCTGACAAGATTAAAACAGCATTTCCCAGCTTATCATGAGAAAAATATCAGTGCACTATATAAATTGGCTTAATTAACGACAGTGTCGTTTGGTAGACATAAATACATAACAGCCAACAATTGGAAATGGACACTTTAAGTCTAAGATTTGGATTTTCCACGATTACTTGCGTAGTTGGTGCGAATCACTAGTCATGAAAACATTTTTAGATAACCATTTCAATGGTATAGCAGGGGCGGATTTAGGCCGTCTTCTGGGTCTTCCGGAAGACGGTCAGATTTTCAAGTTTACATTGTCGGGCATCAAATATTTTCTGTCGGAAGACGGTCAAAAATGGAGGATGGATCAACAAAGATAATTTGGAAGACTGTCAAAAAATATCTCTGGATCCGCCCCTGTATAGACTTCAATTGTCGCAAAGCTTTCGCCTAACATGTGAGTCCTGTCTTGGCGGATACCACAAATAACACAAACAACACAGAAGCATAATTAAAAAGCATATGAGCTGCAAACGAATGGGGGAAAAACTAAAGCAATACTGTAGACTTACGTATATCACACAGGCGCCCTGTAAACCCAGGCGGACATATGCATTTGAACGAGTCCGCTTCCGGAACACATGTTCCAGCGTTTTGACAGGGATCATGGCGGCATGGAACATCCGGGGATTCTGAAACATTAGAATTAATAAGACCAGCCATTTTTTGGTTAGCTTTTCCGGATCTGTTTCCGTAAAAACAATAAGAAATTGTACCCGCTTTAATTATTTGTCAAACCAGGAACTTATTAAATTACTTATATTAGGCAAAATAAATAAATCAATGAATAAATGAAAAAATAAACACATACCCTTTTCATTTTTATTTTCTATTTTATTAATTGATTAATTTATTTATTTATTTATGAAAAATGCCATTGATTCCTCCCTGAGTTACCTTGAGCTGAACAACACTGAGACAAGCACAATAATTAACGAAAAAATGCTGAAAATCTTAAATCTATTCTGTCGTCTGCTACACATAAACATACCCTCAGAGGGACAACATTGGTACAGGAAGCGAAGCCGAGGATTGCTATCCTCAGCACACATCTCATCCATGACGGCCGTGCAGCTTTGGAGGCCATCACAACGATTTCCCAGCCGCCATTTGTACTTGAAGAAGAAGGTGTCTGGCCCCGAACAATAGGGGTCGTTCTCGGAGTATTCGCACACTCGCGCGATTTTGATATTTTGAAGCCCGCATGTCACGTTGAAGAAGCGGTCATTGCAGTCGAATTCGCCGATTTGTTCTGCAATGGCAAATATTGTGATGATTTTGTTGAAGGTTTATTTTGCTGCCTTGTGTCATGTGGTTATTTCGTTGGGAAGGGCAGTAGAAAATTTTTTCTGTGACTTCTACAAGATTATGGTATCTATCTTACGCAAAATTGAAGAGAGTCTATAATGAATTCGATTTAAGTAATAGATATGCAAGTAACGAATTTTTATTTATCATCAAATAAGAAGCAGTTGTAGAGTAACGTAAGATGTTTTTTAATCAGATAGTGTTTTTACGAAGAAAAGTGTTTGGAAGCGTGAAACGTAAAGAGAATAACACTTCACATTCTGTCCAAATACTAAAACAGGAAAGGTGTTTTCACTGTCGTCATTATCATGTCAACATAAATCTCAAGTTAAACCGAGGAAGGTCAATTAAATCAGGTAATTTAAGTTCATGCCTTAATGTTTTTTAAGGAGAACGCTCATAAAAAGTTCTTAATGTATGAAAGCTCAGTATACATTAGTTTAAACAACAAGTCTCCGTAGGATATTTTACGATTATGTAGGTAGTTTTAAAATGCCTTAAATTTCTTTAAGATTTGGCAATAAAACAACACAGCAACCAAGCTTCAAACTCCTCACAATTTATACTGCAATCGCACTTAATAAAAATTCACTGCGTGTAATTTCATGTGGAATGCCTTTCGTGATGCCAGATGATAATCTTTATATGTCCTTATATTTTTACTGACGCAAGAAGAGGTCTTGTATAAAATTTTAATTTACAACCGCCCTCCCTTCTTCGAGGCATTTTTTGCACAGCCTCTCGGTTGCATGCGACTTTTTAAGGAATGCATCACACCTTCATTATTTAGTACAATAATCTTTTAAATTTCAGCATTTATCCATTCACACGGAGGCACACCATACAAAAGTTATAAATTCGAAAAATTATATTGATTTCTAATTGGCGGCAAAGAAAGGGCGAGACTCATGAAATTCAGCAGTCTTCATTCCCTTATGAGTGTGTCTCAAGTTATGGAAACTTTGAACTCCCGAACCGTTTAATAGATTATAATTTTTCAACAGTTCAGACTATTGGTGATTGAGAAAAAGATGTCAGGAAAAAATTCCTATATGAAGGTCCAATGTTCATTGTGTTACTTGAATATTTTTTCAGTCAATCTTCTCTAGCATGGCTACTTCAGTTGTCATTCATGCCAAATATTCAGGTCCATGTTCATTTAAAGAAATAATTGGTTTTGATATTGCCCAGCGTCCTCACTAAATCGATATAAAAACAGGACAAAGCTGTTTCATTAAATGCAATTAATTGACGCTTATACGACTGGCAGTTGTTAGGGACTGAGTACATTGTAACATTAATTGAGGACTCCATAGATCATTTTACAGACCAGTCTGTAATGTCAAATGGACAAACCCAGAAATATTTTGATAACAAGCTGCCGCTGTGAATAACAAGAGAGAGAGAGAGAGAGAGGGAGTGAGAGAGAGAGAGAGAGAGGGAGAGAGAGGGGGAGTGAGAGAGGGGGGGAGGGAGATTGTGTACCTTTAATGGAGCACTCCAAGGCCCCCTTTTCACAGTAGAGTCCGTAATGTCCACATGGACACATACACCTGTACGACCTCACGTAGCCTTCGCTGTCACACCTTCTGTAGCACTCCGCGTTGTTCATACACGGGTTGAAGGTGGAACACCTGATGTGGGCGTACATAACTGAAAAAATGTTGGAGAAAAAACTAAAGAAAGTGAAATTTGACATTGGAGGGCCAGCAATATAAAACATTCTATACTTTCGCTTCGACTACCCTTCAAAAATCAAAAATAAGTTACTAAAAAGAGATTTTTTAGATCAAAAGAAAATCTGACCTTCGCTGGGTCATTCTGAAATGCACATTCAATTTTTTCGTTTATTATTTTACACAGAAAAAATTTCAGTGGCGGTTGGGAAGCACCCCTGTTCACTTTATAACGCCGGAGTGACAGGAATGGTAATCCTAGGAATTGAAGTCCTAGGTGTCACGAAACTGAGGGTCTGTGTGACAGAAAGTCCGCCCTCCACATAGTTATAATGGTTAGGGTTAGTCTGACCTAAGTGGGTCAAAATCTAGGACGAGGCTCACCTGTACAAAGTAATGGGTAGCGGACTCTCTGTCACGGGGGGCTTTCTGGTACATGACACCGGTCTCACATGATAAACACAAGTTAGGTTCAGCTGTGAGAACTGATGTCAGTATTAGACGAAGGACACCTGTACAAAATAGTGAGTAACGGACTACGTCATCAAGTGAGTGGACTCCTATCCCTGTCACACCGGGGTTTGAAACATGATCAAAAGTATCATACTAAGTAGCGTTCTATACATAAGAACAGACTGGACCATGCCCACGGGAGCGCCGGGAAAAGGTGATATGCCTGACCCACACGTGGAACACATTGGGTACTCGTCTGCGCCATCTAGTGTCTGGTTTGCTGCTGGCGGCGTGACCGTGGCGGCTTGGCACAGCACGAGACCGCTTAGGACACTTACCACGGCCACAAGAGTAAGACGGGACATGGCTCTGATTCTGAAACGAAAAGACATACATTGGTGTCTGGAGAACGTTCATTACTTATCATAAAGATTGGTACAAATAAATAAATAAATAAATAGTAAATAGCCAAGAGACAATTCTTATAATTAACCAACCCCAAATTCAGTCAAGCTGTTTTACTCAACCTCATAAAAATACCAAAACATTTTCAGAACTCAAAAATACCCAATGGTTTCAAGAGCTACATAACCAGGTTCTTTTTAGTTTGAACTTGGGACATAGGTAACGGAGGATTCCCTTCATAAAGAGGGCTTTTCAAAATTAAATTAAAACAATGGGACAGTAAGTTCAGACAATTAGTTCAGTTAAATCAATCAGAAATAGATGAAATATCGGAGTTCATATCATCTGTCCGTTAGTGTCCAGTTTGTGATTTGTGAACAAATATTGCGTTAACAGTTTATATAAAGCAAAAAGGTAACAAGGGGTCTCAAACTATTATCATGGACAATTTCAAAGGTCCACCTTTGTTCGCCTATATAAAACATAATATACCACTGATGGCAAGGCCACCCGCTAGGAATATGAGTCCAAAGGATCACAGAATGGCGTCAAAATGGCCATGAAAAGGACATCAGTTTATGTCCATTTACATATTCTAATTGCTTCATGGGAACGTGAAATTTGGTGGTTTATATTTTAGTCTTGGGGACGGTGTACTTTAACACCATGGTGCCTTTCGTTCAAGTTATAAAAATTACCTCCCTTTTTGAGACACGGTCATATTCCCAAAATAGTACAACTTTCAGTAGCAGACTGCAAGCTTAAAAAACGAATTAGATCTGCCGATAACAACAGTCGAGTACGTCAGCCGGTGTGTGCTTAAAACTAACCGCTTTATGTTTTTAAATCACGGATTGGCGTGTATTCCAAAGAATATATGTGCAGGATTTTGGCGTCTCAGTCCTTTGTCAACATTTCAGATAAAATACATTTGCCCAAATGTGAGTCTCACTCTCACATGATTGTTTCATCCACTTCTTCACCATATTAGAGTTTTTTTTTTTTTTTTTTTTTTTTTTTTTGCACCCCAACCGAGACCACATTCAATCGCCATGTTTTAATGGCTGTTATACATGTTAACATCTGTTTTGGTATTTCTTCCTTATAGTTACATAAAGATGAATGTTTAAATGCTTCACGCCTAAGACATGTACTGCAAGCTAAAATAGGGGTTTAAAAGTTCACGGCGCAGTTTACGTCTTGCAGTTAGCGTGTTATCTCGTTATCCCTGTCAAAATAGCCAAAATTGTGTCCTGTATACAGCTTTTAGACCTATTAATCCACAAATAAGTAATCAAACATATAATTTCACTTTTAGTACGAGAATTTTAATTAGATTTTGGAAACTGTTTAATATGCATTTTATGCGAAAATTTCTTTAGATTTACCCCCATTGCCCTTACTAAGTTGATTCCCGATACGAAACGACATGAATAAGACTAAACGGTTGGAAACCTTTAGAAATTAGATTTAGCTTAAGGACATTAAACTACAATTGATAAAATTTGTTTGGGTTTTTTTCAGTTCGTTTTTGACGTTACTCTAAGGCCAGCTGTGGTGAATATCTTTATGGACAAGCATTTTATTCGAGGTATCATCCCCAATTAAAATATCACAGATTCTTTTGGTTTGTGTCATTTTTGAATTTGGTTGTAAAATAGACGTTTAGTATTCAACACAACACTTTAATGCAATAATGTGACTTGTTTATACTTGGGTTTTATATTTCAACTTTGTATGAATTTCATGTTGAAATAAAAAAGTTCGTCTGTATCATTTCCATTTATCATCCCTAGTAGAAAAGACCATGACCCATGCTTTAGAAATAATGGGTTAATTTATTGCCAAAGCGTGTCAAACTCTCACTTTTAACGTAAAACTCGGTTTAATACTTTTAGAGACAGAGAACAGCTTTTGTAAAATGTTCAAGCACTATTTGGACTGACACAAAGGAAAAACCTCAAAAAATATATTATTAACGAAGTTGCATATTCACCTATTTCATTTTTTGCAATGCCTTACAACTCAAGAGGCGTTTTCAACAAACACTTGCTCTGCTCTTAAATTTTTTAATAAAATTAATATTACTCTATAAAATGTCATTGTAGCAGAATCATTTACCATTTTATCGTTAATATCAATGTATTTTTAATTTGATTTATCAGAATTGCAGGTGAAATAATTCACTATTTAACTGTCCTATTAAGAACATATTAAACTTTATATTGTCCTTTCATAGTGCCACGCCTGCCTCGCTCGAGGTCCAGAACTTGACCACGCATTCTAAATATGCAAATACGGAGAAATCAATGAAAAGAATAATACTGAATTTTGCACTAGTGGCTCAAAAATGAAAAGCAATTCAAGGTGAGCCTAGACGAAATAATTGTATACCTGTAAACACCAAATAGATGCCTGTATGCACTAAATACATACCTAGTGTATATACCAAATACTGTATATACCTGTGTATACCAAATACATACTTGTATTTACCACATATATACCTGTACTTACCAAATATATACTTGTATAAAACATTATGATAAAGAACACAGAAATACCTATATGTTCTGTGGTCAATTAAATTGTAATCAATGCAAAAACCTGTTTAAAATTAATTCCAACACTCTAGTGATTTAGTGTAATGATTTAGGATTTGGCCACAATTTTCTACTGTTCTCTTCTGTTGGATATTCCCGTTCATTTCTACAGTGAAATATACTATTAGTTCATATAAACTATGGTCAATTAAAGAGAAAACAAATGTCAGATACTTTCACACTTGCCTCACGTTTTCCAAATTAGCCAAATATGCTGTTGGGTAGTTCTTTTATATTAAAGCATATTAATTCCATGCAAACAAGACACTTAAACTCTCAGATATCAATTTTACCTGTTGTCTTCACCAACACCAAACCCCCTCTTCCAATCTCTCGTCAAAATCTGACCCCGATCAACCCCAGGTAAATTCCCTGTTCAAAAATCTCCAGTGCCGCTCTAAGACGTGGGTGGAGTAGCAGCTGCGTCTCCTCTCTCCGCTCCGTCTCCCTTTACCTGGTGAAAACCAGTGTGTAAACGGTGGTATTTAATTCATATTAACTAAGATATCTCTTTTGGTTATACATGCACGGCCCAGGTCTGCAGACGATTTGTACATTTCTTCGCGTTAATTTCATTGCCGTTACCACCCCCACACCCCTTCTCGTGAAAAGTTTCTGCGTTTTTAAGGCACTGGAAAACCAAGCCCCCAAAAAGAGCTAAAAAGTATCGAAAGTCACAACAGAGGACACTTGATAATTTCAGGGAGTCGGGATGGCCTTCTTTTCGTCACTTTTACAAGTTTTCTACAAGTGCCAAGAACCAGTATAGTGCGCTGCGTTCCAGTACGCGTGAATGGCGCAGGATACGTTACGCTGCTTGCTCCTGCAATTAATGGCATACTTATTACCCCTCCATCTAAAATCCTGAATTCATTTGACAGCTTTTCTTTTCAGATATAGCGGGAAAGGGCCTTTATGTCTTTGTAACAAATACACCTATCATGCTATTTAGTAGACACAGCCAACTTCAGCTACATGCACACCTCTCATGGGCAGGTTTCGTTGGACGGTTTGGCGAGTTGTATATCGCTCTCCCAGCCACAACTTTTCTCTTCAGAAGATCATAAGAAAATTGTTTTGAGTGATTGGATTTTAATTTTTGGATGAATGAAAAACAAACGGAGAGAAGGGTCTCATATCTCAAACACACCGTCTACGCTCCATCGTACAAGAGAAGCGTTGGGTTTATTTGTTATAGATGCACACTAAAGTATTCGTATTTTTAAAACTTAAAGCTATCGTTGGCATTCCCCACATAATCCAAGTCGCCAGCCTAATTAAAAGTAATTTATATTTTATTTCCTTCTGGCTACAAACATCAAAGGATGCGTTAAAGATACATTAATAGATCACCTTGCTGGAGTTGGCGCGTTGCTAAGCGAACAGTGCTTTTTAAAGAGGTCGCTTCAAAACTAGGCATGCATCTTATCAGCTTTCTCCTCTCAATTCTTTATCCTTAACATTTCCCGAATAAGAAAATAAGTTAATTTTAAATAAAGATCTGCTGTGTTTGGTGCAATATCCAAGCTTTTAAATTTTTGAGTCCCTGAAGAAGGCAAAAAAGCCGAAAGCTCGGACATTGTACCAGCACCTAACACAGACATCTTTAAAGATGCATTTAAATCTCACTTATTTATTTCTTACATACAAGATCTATAAGGTGATATGATGAATTTCCTGAATAAAAAATACATGTTATTATTTATTTATAATATATATTTACTTTTAATATATACATGTATATCTGAAAACGAAACAGAAACAGAATGCATACTACCAGTTCTTAATGAAGAACCGTTTAATAGATATAAAACATGCAAATGTCACTTATACAGATCTTATGCAGGCTGGAATGTTAATCAACAAAACATGGGATAGTGTAGTAGGTAAATGATTCGACATTAAAATATAAAATTTTGGAAATGAAAGTATGTTTCAAAACAAATTCTCCCAGTATAAGAAGGTACAGACTCCTGGAAAATACCTATGACATGATTGTGGTGCATTTCTTTGTAAGTTCCTTCATAAATATAATTATTATACAGAGGTAACTCTAATGTATAGTTCAAAAATAAGGATAAAATAAATTCATGAAGACATAAGCAAGTTGTGTAACGCAAAACAAAACATTTGGAACATTACATTGCACTCTACATCATGTTGCTTTTATATAAAATATACACAGTTTTCCCTGTTTTTTATCATTTAAAGAAAAGTGTTCACTAAAATATACCACCCATGATGGATTTAAATGACAATTTTACGTAAAATAATTTGAGGTTAATCACTTGTATCTTGTTTACTAGTATGTGTACCAGTTATTATTGACTTTGAAAACATTTAAGTGATGCTAAAAAAAGGTAGCACCATTAATGGAATAAAATCTTTTAAAATCCTTTGGATCTTGGATAAATATATATGGCAAGCAAAAAGCATATTAAAATATTGAACAAAATGTAGATAAGCACAATCCTAGGCACAATACTAAGCAACAGAGTAAATTTTCAGTAAACAAATATACACTAGATGTGCTATGTAAGGTTTTTTTTTGATGAACAAAATGAGAAGCATCCCTTTTTGTGGTAAGTTGAAAACGGGTCTTTACTCTGAGATTAAAAGTGTGAAATTTGACCGAAGATAAATTTGGAGTGAGTCCAAAAAATATATATTTTTTTAAAATTTTAATCATCAGTCATTTCAGGACCTTATGTTTTCTTAAACAAGCCAGAGAACCACACATCAGAGTTCTGACATATTAGATTTAACTGGGTCAAAGAGAAGACCAGCTATTGACTTGTGAAACATGGTCCTGCAAAATTTCCCTTGTCCATCTTCTTCTCTCTTGACAAGTTCAACTCATGCACCCTCTGATCTGTGTGAAGTGATGCAGATGTTGAAATAAGTTCTTCAGTTTAGAAATGATCTCAGATTGCATTTCTATTGTGACAATCTGACTATTGACATCTAAATGAATCTGTATCAAAATTATTTGTTTATGAAAGAAAAAAAAACACAATCTAAGCTCTCTTGTCACGTGATATTGAAGTTTCTCTTTTTCATTCAGACTGGACAAAGCTTACAGGGTCAGCAGTGGAAATGTCCACTGTCCACCGTTTATCCATAACCTAACTGGCACTAACAAGTCTGTACGCTGGACTCAAGTAGTTTTTGGGGACCAACCCGACTTTCCCCGACAGCAGCCCGACCCACCACTGGTCATTGTCATACTCCTTGCTGACCACCAAGATTTGATCACCGCGTTTGAATGTCAACTCATCGCTTGTGTCGCCATGACAATCCCACAAGCCCCAGTATATGTTTGCCTTGCTGATGTTCTCCTTCTTGATAACAGGTGGTGCTACACTGGAAGTGCTGTTTTCAGTTGGGGCTGTCTTGGAATCTGACGGTGGGATAGGTGGCAGTGGTTCTCTGGCTCGTGGGGATTTGGGTAGGGATGGGAGTGTCCTGGACTGTGCCGCCTCTACTGGAGGTTTTAGGTTTGTATTTGGAACTGGTGTTTCACATTCATCATAGATATCTTCTGGTTCATCACCTTGTTCTTGAAATAAAGAAAATGTATAATTAACAAAATTAAAAAAACTGTACTGGAATGTGATCAAAGAAAAACTAATGAGAAAAACATAAAGAACCTTTTCTTGTTTTAAAAATGAAAAGTACAAGAAAAGGTGAATTTGGAAAATTATAACAGTTTCCAATAAGTATAAAAACAAAAGCTGTTACGAAAAAAAAAAATCTCAAAACATATCACAAAACATGTCTTTCTCTCAAAACACATATTTTAAAAGCTGTTTAAAATTCTACTGCCTTACCTCCTGTATCATCATACAACTCCTCAGGCTCATCTCCTGTTTTTATATCAGGGGTCGCTGACGGTGCCGAGGCAGCCTCATCATACACCTCCTCTGTCTGCACGGCACCTGAGCCTCCCTCGTCATATGTCTCCTCCTGCACCACATCTGTCTCCTCATAGAACTCCTCAGTGGGGGAGGGGGGTGGTTTTGGCAGAGCCTTACTCTTGCCCCCTGGCTTCTGGCGCATGTTTTCAGGCTGCAGGAAAAAAAATGGAATGATCATAAAAACGTGAAACTGTATATCTTAATTCCATGTAGCAATTTCAATATATGGCTTAATTTTTTCCTTGCTTTTAGTATTTTCTCTACTAAAATTGTGCTCAGTATGATGCACATTCATAGTTGTGTACAATCACACGAGAGCTAGTGCCCACATAGGCATTCACACACACACATAAACACACACACACACACACACACACACACACACACACACACACATGCACATGTTCACACACTCTGTTGTGTTGGAGTTATCTCTATGTACTAATATACCTTTTGATTTGGCTCCTCGTATTCATCATCATCCTCATCTTTATCTGCCGTGTTGTCAGGGAAGGCTGGAACTGATGTATCTTCCTCATCTGAATCTGGAGAACAGCAAGAGAATGTTTTTATACCAATATTTTCCAATATTCAATAAGTATTCAGAACTCTTCAATTTCTGTAAAACAACATGTTCAAAATGTATGTGTGGGTGTTCGTGCATACATGATTTTTTCGTTTAGAAATTGACAAGTATTGATAAATCAGAAAGTTGAGCAAAAAGCAGGCAGAAGGAGTTCCAGAAATACCATAGATCATACTTAAAAGACCAAGAATCCCTGAGAATACCAAAAGAAGAGCAAGTGAATGCTTGTACCCATGCCATGTAGCAATACTGTAAATAAATAGAAAAACAGACCAATGCAACCTAATCATACCTAGTTCCAGAGGGTCTTTGCCAGCTGGCTCACTGCTGTTGGCGCCACTGTCACTAAACTTCCACAACACTTTCTTCCACTTTGTTAACTGCTCCTTATCTGGGGCTATAAACTACAAAAATAAATAAATAAACGAGTGAACAAATGATTGACCAAATGAATTAAAGTATAAATAAATGATGGTACCTCACTCATTAGCATCCTCATAGGTCTTGTAAATGTAAATGGAATATTCTCTTACTGTTGGCAGAATTTGCAAAACACAATTATTTCTTCATCATGAAAAGGAGTTTAAATGTTGGTATATTTATTTACTGGGATAGGAAGGAAATGTCTTGTATTTATATTGGTATGTACACTAATCAAGCCAGGACTTCTAATAAAAAAGGTTGTTATATGGAGTTTTAGACAACAGGTTCTTGATGGCAGTCATGGACGAAGGAAATGGACATGGGGGGGGGGGATTCAGACAGAGAACTGGTTATATGCACTTTTTGGCGATTCTTTTTTAAATGAAATCATTACGAAATGTCACATGATAAGAATGTAAAAAAAACAAACAAACTGATAAACATATAAATAAATAAATAAAAGGATCCATCTTACAAACAGCAGATTCAATAACTTACTTAATTGGAGGATACCTAGCAACAATCCCTAAAATACTACCTACATGTGTCTATACATCTATCTGATTTTTACAAAATTAATGCAAGTTTTAACATCAGTGTACAGTATCAAATATTGCTAAGAAGCATCTGAGACAAAGCATTGTCTATAACATCAAATACTGCATCTGGCAAAAGCAAAAGGAGGACTACTGCTCAATATTTAATGCAAGCAATTTTTGCAATTCATTTTCAGTCATAAATCATTGATGATTCATTTGGATTTAGGGGTAGAGAAGAGTGTAGTTTAGAACAGCCGCCTCTGTCTTCATACTCACATAGTGGGTTCCTACAGGGTCCTGTTTTTGAGCCTGTACCAAGTTATACAGTGAGAATTGAGGCAAATACAATTCATTTAAACATGACAAATTTCCTAAGTGAAATGTATAGTAGTATAAAATTGACTTAAAAACCACTTAAAAATTGCACCAAACTTTCTTGCAAGTCAGATTTACTGTGCTTGAACAAAAACTGGACTTTTTCTTCAAATCAAAGTAACATCTTCACTAATTTTAAGCTGCGGATAACTATTATGGAGCTGTGTAAGCTGCTCTATTATGCCATCTTTCTCAGTCTTGGCTTGTTTTGTTTCTTTCTTCAGTGTTTGACTTGGAAATGTGTCAACATCTGTTTTTAAGGATTTTTACTTTGTAACTGCTGCAAAAGCTTTTTTCAAGATTTCTCTATCAGTACCAGTAAAACTTCATTATATTTGAACTGATGGTCATGACTTAAAATTGTGAGAGCTTTTTCCTGAGCTTTCTGGCATAGCCCATAGATTTTTTTTCTACTTGTCCTTTATCTTCACATGCACTTCAAGTATCCTGATACCTAATTGTATCTCAACCATAGGCAGACAAGAATGCGATCTTTCTCAACTAACACAATGAACATCTCAACCACAGTGATAGCAACTAACACAATTACAGGAATGCATTTTCAAAACTAACCATAAATGGTAATAAACGACCCTTTGGTGTTTGTTTTCATAATAGACGGTTGGTTTTACAAGAGGGCTTAACATAATATAACCTTGACTATAAAATCAAAAATATAGACTACTTTCTTTCCAAAAGTAGTAGTAGTAGTTACTGTAGTTCTGTAACAGTAGTTGGCACTGTAGCTGTTGTTTTTTGTTGTTGTCAAAGTAGTATACTTAAAGATGCATATTAATTGATTACTAATTTCAATTCATTGTCACTAAAGGCAACCAAATGCCACAATAGTGTTTCAAAGGGCATAACTTACAGAAATACCACAGATTCTGTTACTAGTACATTATTTCCTGAAAATGGCAATTGCACCTGTATTTTTTGCTTTCCTTCTGTTTTCCAAGTTTTTAAATAAAGCAGAAATGTCCACTTACTGTGAAACTTCTTTTAGCAGGACAGCTGATACTGAAGCAGAAATCTTTTTTCTTTTGGTCCTTTACTTGGCTTGGTGACAGCTGGAAGCGATAATCTGAAAAAAACATTTTTATTTTGTACACTTACATTGAAGTTAAGTATGGTTACACATGCTTCAAAACCACCTGTTTCCTGCAGTCATGTCAGGGGGGAAAATGGAAACAAAAACATATAATAAAATAATAAATATCAATTCATAAAATATCAAACTTGATATGCATTTTTATCAGTAAATTCCTACTTGCTGGTCACAAAGAATTCATCTCTAAAATTACCTTAGATATACTGTGAAAAATAAATAATTCTTAAAACTTTACCTGTTAAAATAAAAGCCCCTTGCTGCTGTTTCGATGTAGGTTTCTCGTAGTAGTAGAACTTGTCATTTAGAATGGCACACCATCGTTTCTGATATTGATTCGCTACACGTGTTAGTAATCCTTTTTCTGAATGTACACATAAAATGGGATGACATTTAAAATACCAAAACAATGTCACCATCATTTTTTTCAAATCCAATGAAATTTATGAGCAACGTTTTGTTTTTATCCTTCTCTGTTTTTTAACATCAGTGTTACTGCAAATTATGAAAAAAATATCTAAAATATTAAATGAAATGTAGAATAATACAAGTACTCTCATATACCATGGTTAACTAATTAGGTTAAGTCTTATTAACTGAACATAGTTTTTCCCATTAAATTTATCAGCTGAATATTTCCACTTCTTTTAAACACCTTTTCGTTTCTTCTCCAAGAATCCTGACACCAGCACTTTGTCTGGGGTCATCTCACTGGCAGGAATATTCTTGATTGCAACATCTTCTACTGTGACAGGGACATCTGGAGTAAATAATATTTTAAAAAATAAACAAAATAATCAAACTAAAAATAAAATTGCAGGATAAAATATTTCAAATGTTGCAAAATTCAGATGCTAAACTGAGATCCTTCAACACTACTAAATGTTTAATGATCTGGTGAAATCTGTAAAGAAGTTACCAACATAAACAGTTCAAACTATACATTGGGAGGGGACCTGAGTGGGGGGGGGAGGTAAAGTTGTACAGTTGCATTTTAAGTCTGGTCAGGCTGTGTTGTCTTATCATTATTGTTCAGAGTGGAGGGGAGGAGGTGCAGCGATGGGGAGAAGTAAGTAAGTGAGTTCATACAGTACCTTCAGAGTGTACGCTGTCAGTTTCATTCTTGCTGAAGGAGCCTCCACTGGCATTTTCAGTGTCCTCGTACAACTCCTCGTTGTCCTCTGGTGCTGGCTTTGGTGTGGAGGTGATGGGACCCTCAGCATCTGTGTACTCATAATCTGGAATAGCATCATTAATATTGTATTGTATATAACAGATTCTGTTGAGGGGTGAGGGAACAAAGATAGCAAAATTTTGGCCAGCAAAATTTACTGTAATAAGTCAGACAAAGTTATGGAAAATTTTTACTTGTATGGAAATGTCTCATAAGTTGCACTTGTACTTGTTTTATTATTATTATTATTTTTTATTTTTGGTGTGTGTGTGTGTATGTGTGTGTGTGTGTGTGTGTGTGTGTGTGCATGTGTGTGTGTATGTGTATGTGTGTGTCTATGTGTGTGTGTGTTTGTGTATGTGTGTGTGTGTGTGTGTGTGTGTTTAAGGGGGGGGGGAGGGGGCAGTGTGTACAATGCTAGTACAGGTTGAGAAACAATGTCAGAAATAAAAATGTACAACATAACCTAACCTCTATATACATATTACATATATATATATATATGATTCATATAGAATTTATAAGAAGACTATAACACTGCATACACAGTACCTATATACATTTAATTAATAAAGTTCATGCAAAGGAGAGAGAGAGAGAGAGAGAGAGAGAGAGAGAGAGAGAGAGAGAGAGAGAAATGAAAGAAAGCACCAATACTCACTTTCCTCATCCACTTGTTTAACAGAGGATGATGACGAAGATGGCGTTGGTGATGAGGGCGTGACTATAGCCTCTTCATCGCTGATTTTAAGCTGTGGATAACTATTACGGAGCTGTATAAGCTGCTCTATTATGCCATCTTTCTCAGTCTTGGCTTGTTTTGATAGTTTTTCTTTCTTCAGTGTTTGACTTAGAAATGAGTCAACATCTGTTTTTAAGGGAGAGAAGAGAAGAGTAACGATAATGACAATATCTATAATATGGACAGAGGATACCCTGTACTAGCGTGCGTCTTAATGATAAAAAGGGAAATTCATAAACACAAAATTAGCTTCGACCTCCACATATGAACCCTTAGTAACACTCTCTTTCGTTAACTCGTACAGTGCAATAAGTTAAGATAAATCCGTGGCTAGCGTTTGCTGACACCGTCTACCGTGGATTCTCTACGGAGTTGAACATTTTGCACTAACTTAAGCCAGAGCAAGCAGTTACGAATTTGTTGTTTTTGATACATACACTGTACTAGCCCCCATACTAGTAGACAATCTCAAAAATAAAATCTATCGTGTTCTTTACAAGATGACTTCGCGTTTGGTTCTATTTTACTTACCGTGAATGAAAAACTTGATCTTCTCGGCAAATAGAGACATTTTACTAACTTAAAACAAAGTTATTCATGTTCAAGTGCAGACAAGGAAGTTGAATGCGGAAGTTTGATGGCGAATAATAAATCATAGGGCGCAGCACTACCGGTCAAATCCAAGACAAGCTACACGACTTATTATTCACTTTATTTGGAGGGGTGGGATCTCAGGGCCAATATTGCAACATCTTCATTTGAAAAAAAAAAAAAAAAAAAAAATCACAAAAATTACTTTTTCAAGCAACTTAAAGTAATTACTCAAACATTTAACTCTTGGCTTGCAGCAATTAGCCAAAAAGATAAATCACAGTCGCACATCAGAATTGGCGAAAAGTAAGAAAATAACAAAGAAATGGATAATACTGCAGAATCAGCTTTATTAGAATCACTACACCCAAAATGCAACATTGGTACCTTGTTGTAACAAAGTGCACTGATGAACAACATAGAAAAATAGAACTATACCCTGTAGAGACAGTGCCATAGGTATATACATGAGCCCTGGGAATGCAGGAAGGAATTTACTTATGACAAAACAACATATATCTTACTATCATCTTCCATGGTCACACCTTTTGTCTAGGAGTCTAGGAGGAATTTTGTATCATTAAAGTCTATTTGTTCTCAATACACTGGACCAAAAAATTTAAGAAACATTAAATTGTTTTTCGATTAAAAAAATAAACAAAAAAACAAACAATGTAATGCAGTGGGAAAATCTTCAGTATATATAGAAATTACTGGTGGGAGCATTATCCATCTACATTTGGTTAAAATATTTACCTTATACTCATACAGTCATTTTATAATTATGAAAAATAACGATGTTTCCCAACATTTTGGTTGAGTGTAAAAGCGCTTGTTCGCTCTTCTCTCCCTTTTGTGGCTGGCCACCCACTCTTGTACAGATCTGCAGGCATAATTTCTAGTGATAAAAAACCTTGATATTCTACAGAATTTGCTTTCCTTAAACTGTGTACTGAAGTTTACAAATATATATTGTTGCAAAGAGTCTCCAACATCAAAAATCTATTTCTCCGTTTAAATGAAACAAGAAGCAAATATATATCAAAACACCAGAATAAATAAGTGCCAGTTTTACAATTTCTTACTGACCAAAACATTGCAAGACTACAAAAAGTATACAAACAATACATTCTTATATTGAGAACGCTGTATCTTTTTTTCATCAACAACAATTACAACAATAAAATCAGTAAATATAAACAGATGAGTGCACACATCTGGTCTTGCATATTAGGAGAAAAAAAGACATGCAATCTTATTACAAGTGTTCATATCACACTTACATATTCTCTGTACATCAAAAAATAAACTGATATTAAGAATGCATTGGTTATAGTATTGAAATACTGACAGATGAGCAGAATCAGATAATACCTGTAAATGGAGTTTTTTTACTGGCTTTTTGTTTAAGTGTATCACTTCAGATCCATAGTTCTGGATATTAAGTCATTAAAATTATATAGAAATCATATCCAATCTCAAGAGTAATAGGAGTAAAAATTGAGAAAATAAATGATAAATAATAACTGATATAAAAGTTCAACATGTTGTGGAGGGAAGCAATCTTACATTAGTGTTTCTAGCTTTCAATAAAATTTGGCTTGGTGCAGACGTTCACATTTGACACAAATCCAGAACCTAAATATTTTCATAGTGGAAGGCAAAAAAACAAATCACACAGAAAGTGTTCCAACACTGCAATACTTCTACTACCAAACTGATTGATACGGTAAATACTTGAAAATTTAGTCAGTCTTGGAAATTTTGTCAGAGGATTCTCTGCCAATTTAATTTTTTTACACATAGAAATTTCACCAAACTTGAAAACGGGCCTCTTGATAATTTTTGAAGTTTGTCACCTAATATGGACAAGTCAGATTCAGGTACTTAAAGATATTAATTAATTTTTAAGTGGCAAAATTTTCAAGTTTTTACCGTCCTTGCTGTTTTTCAATACTGACCAAAATTGATAGGGATGGTAAAAAAGACCTGACAAACTGGTACATTAGTCTAAGTGTGTGCCTCAATAATCAACTACATACAAAAAAGTTAATATCCAACGGAATTGGTTAAGACTTGCAAAATACATTATGTGAGCAATAATACTGCACAGGAGTATTAGTATGAAAAAAGGTGATGTTAAAAAAATATGTAAGAAAAATAGAAATTTTCATGGAAAAAGAGACAATTTGCAGAAATATGAAAGAAAGTTTAAGTTCCTTGCCCACTATACAGAAAATCATTGTCTTCTCAGGCAAAGGATTTTGCAGATGAACTTCTTGTTGTCTGTTTATTTATTTATTTATTTATTTGTTTTTTGTAAGTTCTGCAGTTTTGGCATAGTTTAAATATAGTTACAGTATATGAGCCGTCTTTATTTTCATTTCCATACTCTGTACAGGGAGATATTGCAGTTTTCTCGTGCCCAACACAAAGTTGATCAAGTTTTTCAAGATCCCATTGTTATTCACATTTTTGGTGGCATACAGTCCGCACATTTTGGTGAGTTTTCTCACAGATGCCTGATGCAGCTCCTGACAGGTAAGGTCTTGTGAGATAACGACTAACTGGTTGAACAGTGGCAAGCACATCAGGAGAGACGCCAGCAGAGAATATAACGCTCCAACAAAACACAGCGAGGTACTGAAATCATCAAGATCAACAACATCAGGTCAGGAGATATGAGACGATTGGCAGAAAATTGGAAAAAAAAATCTCAGGACATCATTTTACACTTTATTATTTTGATTTTAATAGACACCCTTATTTGACAATTTTAATAAAGTTAAATTACATGAATAAACACAAATCAATTTTAGACAAAAGTACAAAATTGGAATAAAGAGAAGAAAGGCTGTGTTCAGAATAGAAGGATCCATCTACCTCAGCTGGGACTCTCGCTGAGGTGCAGTCAATGTAATTAGCTTAATTGTCTGGCATGCCCCCCTCATAACTTAAAGTACTAAGGTAAAATCCGAATACCTTTGTGTTCCATGATGTCGTTCATCTTGCTTTACGAGGGGGCATGCCAGATAATTAAGGTGATTGAATTCCCGCTGAGATTGATCCTGCTAGTACCAATTATTTCTAATCTGAACACAGCATTAAATATCCCATTAACAACATTAAACGACTATACTCACGAGTAAAAATGATAAACAAGGGTCAACCAATGGGAAAATGAATAATTCTGATCTGCATCATAGATGACACTAAATGTTAGATACGTCCCATAGAACCCTGCGACGATGAACAAGATGATGGCTAATACAAATGGTCTTTGGTTGTGGACGCCTATACAACTGTCTATCCTGAAATATAGAAATAATAGCAAAACTGTTAACAACTTTACAATTGACTTAAAGACTTAATTTTCAAACTCAAAAATGTTAAAGAAAAATGTCAAATTGTCAAAAGTTTCATACTTATGGGATCAAATTCAATTCCATGTCATTATGTGTTAGACAAAACCCACTAGGCATACGCATTACAGCTGTTCGCATGCACTACATGTGCACATGTACAGCCACACGCAGTACATACCAAACACAGTGGTGGTCTCGTAGCTGAACACACGCGTTACATATACTGCAGTGTCCACAGCGCGGAGGTTTGCGCACTAAGCACTTGTCACACCACGTCATCAGGTGCCCATCTAAAAGGTCAAGGTCATCAAAATCAATACATGGATAATAATAATAATAATAATAATAATAATAATAAAAGATATATGTAATTTGCTATCTATAAAGTCTACTTCTTGTCTGCCTCATATCTAAACACATCTGAGAATTTGTCATTATGTTATAAAATAAAAAAACCAAATATATGAACTGTAGCCAATAAACGTGAAGGTGTAACTTAACAAATATACATATATTTATTTCAACTAAATGAACATAAAGTCAACATTCATACATCTATGTCCAGCTCTATAAAAGCACATTTCTCAACTTGAAGTCTACCACTATTAGATATTGGACATACTTTACAGACAATGACGTGACAGCTGCACCACACCTAGGGCTCATTTCCAGTGATACTATTCTTCAATGCAGATCGCTCCCACTCAGCAAGGACTCTTGCCGAATGCAATCAGATTAACAGATTAACACACCTCTTTTTTTTCCACCGTACTGGTGTAATCACCAGCTTTCCTGTTTTCAACTCAATGCATGTTAATCTGATTATGTTCAGAGAGAGTCCCCACAAAGTTGGATCAATCTAGGTAAAACAATAGCTTCACTGGGAATGTGGCCTCCATTCACAGCTATATGGTAATTGCTAAAACAATAATCTCCATCCAAGCCAAGAACTCTTATCCAGACCAATACATGTGACTAGCACCCCAGGAGGAATCCATTTTCATTAATATTGATCTGGTGAGCAATGGATGATAAACCATGTGTATCTATTACTGTCTTAATACAGCTGATGACAGTAATATTAATGCAGCTCAACACACCACTGATACCATTTAACAGAGTCATAGAGAGAATTTTTTTTTTTGCTAGACATTCACAGATGTTTATCTGGCTACTTCTTTGAATTTTCTGTAGTAGTAGTACTGTGAGAATTTTGGAAAAATAAAAGTAATTCATCACCTAGCTGACCTCTGATGGAGAGCACATGATGGCAGTGAACAACTTGTACAAAAGTATACTAACAGTCATATGACTAGGATAGGTTGAAATGAAAGGCACCTGGGTATTTAACTAATTTGGTTGGGGGAAAAAGGAGTGTCTAAATCTCATGAAACTGTAAGCTTGGAGCTTGTTGAAATGGATTCGTTATTCATGGAAACTGATTTCATTGTAGTATAGGGCCCTGGATACTACGACCATATAATTCCCCTTACAGGAGGGGGGGGGGTGCATGAGTGTGTGTGTCTGTGTGTGTGTGTGGTTTTAAGGGGGTTTGAACAAAACTTCCTCTTAATTAAAAAAAGTCTTTAATTTGCAAAAATGTATTTTAATTTGAGGGGGTTTTATCATTTTCCAGGTCTGAATTGGGGAAAGACAGGAGATTCAGACAGAAAAATGTCACAGTGGGGCATTTTTAAACTGGGCACATTTCTTATCAATATTTACCTTTAAAAGGTCTAGAATCTATCCATGTGACATCCTCTTCCAGAATTTTTGTGGCAGGGACTGTGCCATTTTTGTACCCTGAATAGCCATTACTGTGTTGACGGTTGTCAATGTGGTTACCATAGTGATGGTTGTCAATGTGGTTACCATAGTGACAGTTGTCAATGTGGTTACTATAGTGATGGTTGCTAGAGTAATAATCTTCATGGTGTATTCCATTCATAAAATGGCTGCCATTGAGGCCGTTGGCATGGTGATTGAAACCATTGGTTAAATGTGTGTATCCATTGGAATATTTCTGGTCCTCACTAGAACTAATGATGTAATATGAGCCATCCTCAGAGTGACTGATCCTGCGGATTCTGCTGGTGCAGCTTGTCGCGCAGTATCTGTTGGAGTGTGAAGTGACAGCAGTCCCATTCTGCTGAGGCTGCTTTTGTTCCTCAGAGTCTAACACTATCTGAGTGGTCTGATCTGAGCTCTTGGCCTTCCTGAAGGAATGTGCATCTCTGGAATGTATTATCCCTGGATCACGTTTAGCGAGAAACAACATGACAAACATAGCTGCCAGAATGAGGTGAAGCACCACAGCGTGCACTGTGGCCACCTGAAACTCTTGGTACAGAATGAGGTCAAACAGAAAAGTCAAAAATAGCACCGAGTTCACCCCCCATGTGAAGAATAACCGCGTTCTGCCACGTTTAGTCCTCCGTTTCCAGTGGTGGTAGAACACAAACATGAGCACTGGGATAAGTGGTATCACAATACATGTGAAGTAGATGTGCATAGCAGCGATAAGAAGACATATTGGCACAGTCAGAGTAGGGAACGCCACGTCCAGGGGGATCTTGATAGCACCTTTTCCCGTCAGGCCGGGGATTCGACATCTGTCCTCACATGTGACATAAATCTCGTCTAGTGTGTCTGGCGGGATGGAATGAAATGAGACCAGCCTGGAAAGAGAATATAAGACAACATTATGTCACAGAAATTCACTATGTATTTCCAAGTTTTGTTTTAAGTTTCAGAATATATTGCTGACAAATTCTTTAGTAAGATGCTGTACAAGTGACTACTGACCCCAGCATTGCTTACAGAAATAATGGAAAGTGCCAAAATACTGCTTTTTTTTTTAAATACTAGTAAACATGTATCACAGTGCTACCATTTAGTTTGTTAAAAAAATTGTAATTTGGAAAATTTGTAAATTGTCTACTGCTGCGACAAACAACATTTTCCACAAAACTTAACAGAATTGATGCTTTAAGTAGACAGAAGGTATGTTTATGAGAAAAATACTACTGTGAACAGTAATATATCTAATCATTAGAAAGTCCAGTAATTAGACAGTATATTATTATTTATCCATTAGAACAGCTACCTGTCGCAGGCCTGGTCCAGGGCGTCACATTCACACAGACATTGTAAGATGTGCTGTTTCTCTCCTTGGTTATTTATGTACTCGCAGCAACAGAGACTCCCCTCCTCACTGGCTACTGACATAATACTGCCTGGCCGCTACTCACTAGATGGCGCCACACTGGGAAAACATTCTGAAAGCAAATAATTAAAAGTTTATTCGGCTCTTGTACTGTATATTTTATATTATAATGTAATACATTAAAAATGGAAACTACATAATTTATCTTAGGATGCCACACTGAGAAAACATTCTGAAAACAAATAATAAAGGTTTATTCGGCTCTTGTACTATGTATTTTATATACTCACTCAACAGGGTATCGCAATTCTTAACCAGAACAATATTGACTTATCTATAGCCTAGATTGTCTCATCCAAGTCACACGTCATTAGATCGCCAGTATCTGGTATGCAATCAAAACAACAGTCTGTGCTGATCTGCAGATCACTGTGTTCATGCTAACAGGCACCAAGTTCTGCCAGCACAATTCCACTGCCAAGTGGCAAAATGACATGCTTTATTCCATACTTATACATCAGGTAGAACTGATAAAAATGTACAATGATGTCAACATATATAATAAATAAAGACCATAATCACATAAATAGTTATGTGTGGGTATACAAGAGCATTTTATGATCTATTGTCAGGATTTATCTACACGCTGAGTCTCTAGTCACAATGCATGGGGGCCTCACACAGACATTAAAAAATATATAGATAAGATAGCACTCTGATAGCATTACATATATATATGCTTATTCACTATGCAAATAAATGTAAACCACTTCACTTCATGAGTTTTAATATACAGATCATTCAGTTTTCCCTTGTATTACTTTGACAACTGACCATTTCCTTCATGGAATTCTGTCCTCATCTTGTTGACAACTCCTGTCCTTTTTCATGTACTAGAATATGACATCACTCATGCTAGTTATGATCAGGACTAAAGCACTTAGTAAATATAGAAACCAAAAGGGTTTAAGAGGCTTATCTATGATGCTCTTCAGATGACCACATATTTCCAAGTTCAATATACTGGTACAAGGACAAAGATGTGTTGTTGTTGTTTAAACCTCATGTGATTGATTTATTTCTGTTATCCTTTGTAAGCACCCTCCTTCTTTTTAAATATACCCCCCCCCCCAAAATAAGTCCATCTTTCTACAAGAAAAGTCTTGCCCATCTATCTTTAAAAATCACATACGAGGCAACATTTTTGTCAAATTAGATTTTTTCCATTGATACGCCTGTACATCTAGAAGCGATTCAAAATTCTTTTAAATACTTACTTTGTGAAATGATCACCAGACCATTCACTGCTAGTTTAAGAAGAGTTTTTAAAAAAAACTTTTAAAACAGGGTACAAGAAAAGACATCTTACGTAACCATGTCCGGTTTATCAATATGACATGTCTCAGTCAGGAGGTTTTCTCTAGGAAAATCAATGGTGCTAGACAAGATAACCACAGAGCTGCAACGTTCAAGTTGCGGTTGAGATTGTGAACATACAATGTAAGTCAACATGACAGCTCCCAGTCTCACAATTTAGCATAAAGCAAGTGGGATTTTGAAAGAAAAAAAATAGCAGCCTAGTGAGTATATTCAGCTATATTCACCCAACTGGGGTCAAAGTAATCTAAATTACTGACATACCTAGAAGAAATAAAATCTCTCACCTAAATTCCATCCTTGTCTATCTGAGACCTCCTAACCTTTCATTCCCATTCACCCAGTCATCCAAGGAAAATGCCCAAAATATTCCCATATCTGATTGCCCAGTACCCATCACCTTAGATTCACACAATCTTGATGATTCACTGAGCATCCAACCATATTTGGGGCTTCTTTTTCAGTTTGAAGCAAAATAAAAACCACCCCCGCCTACACTTCCTAACTAAGTCACCCCTGGTCCCTCCCACTCCATGTGCCTCACTCACCTTAATAACAATGTATGTAATGTAACATGACACACAGTAGCTGTATGCTACATTACAACACAATGCACTGTGACATCACATACCTTACATACCATTTTACATGTTGGGATCATCATCTTGGAATTGAAAATTGAGACAGAGTGGCAAGTCTTGGGATCAGAGGATTTGTCCATGCTGTCATTGGGAAGTTTCAGTTTGTGAAAAGTGCTTTTTTTTAAAATTCACATTGCCCACTGTACAGTGGTTTACACTGATGAAATTTTCAAAAAATGTATGTGCATCAATGAAAATTGCAAATTATTTGTCAAAGGCAAAAACTAAAAGGTCAATATTAGAAAGAGAGCAGAAAGGATTAACATTTGTATTATTCGTAAATGATTATTATTAACTAGTTATTTTAATAGACACAAAGGCCTCCAATACAAAGAAATAAACTTATAAGCAACATGTAGGGCAATAAGCCACCCCCACCCTTCAGTTACTAAGGCTGTATTCCTAGAGCTTTTAGATCGACCTATCCCCGCGGGGAGTCTCACTAGATTACTGTCAGATAATCCGGCTTAAATGTTTGTCCCGCCTACTACAAGCTGTAAGGGGGTAATTAACTTTCGTGTCCGTCCGGCTGACAGCTATTTAGCGTGAACCCCCGGGGAGTCAGGTCGATCGAAAGTAGATCGATCTAATCTCTGGAAATGGGGTCTAAGGCATTGTTACTGAGAAAGGACACATTCAGAACAAGATGTTCCCGCCTCAGACTAACAGATCTATCGATCAAATATGGCTGACCTGGGTCCCGTAACTCGAAACCATCGTGTAAATTGCGAATAGCAATATCACATAGAGGCTTCAATGTATTATATGGGACAAGTATGGATGAGTTATGGAATCGAGACCCTTGCGCTTGGTCGCAATGCGCAATGCTCTCGAGTTACAGGGCCCTCCTTGAAAGCGTGTTACATAATCCACTAACAGACACTCAATAGATTCCCTGTGGGGATAACACTGTAAGCTTTCAAGTGGGTCAGCCATATTTGATCCATGTATCTGTTGGGGTGCATTCCCAGAGATTTAGATCGATCCAGAGATTTAGATCGACCTAACTCCCTGGGGGTTCACGCTAAATTGCAGTAAGCCAAGCACGCACCATAGTTAATTACCCCCTTACAGCTTTTAGTAGGCGGGACGGACGCTTAAGCTGGCTAAGCTGACAGTAATCTAGTGAGACTCTCCACAGGGATAGATCGATCTAAAATCTATGGGAATGGGGTCTAAGGCTCTGTTCTCACAACTTTTAGATCGATCTATCACCGCGGGGAGTCTCACTAGATTACTGTCAGATAATCCCCCTTAAGTGTCCGTCCCCGCCTACTACAAGCTTTAAGGGGTAATTAACTTTCGTGTCCGCCCGGCTGACAGCTATTTAGCGTGAACCCCCAGGGAGTTAGGTCGATCCAATGTAGGTCGATCTAATCTATGAGAATGGGGTGTTAGTCCGTGGGTCAACTTTGGTTGAGAATGTGTCCTAAGTCACCTGATATGAAAGTTGAAAACTGGAATATGAACAGACAAGTCACATCTAGAGGTAGCAAAGTGATATGACATATCTGATCAAAGCATGTGACCATAATATTGACCTTGTTTTCTTATCACGCTGCTAACATTTTCAATTCCACTCAACAAAACAAGCGCAAAGTACAGACCTATTAAAGAAACAAAAGAAAAATGAAAGGAAAACAAAGATAAAGAAAAAAAAAGCTAAAGAGGCCCATGCATAAATTTTTACAAGTCAATCATGTGCAGTAAGTGGTTTACAGTCTTTTCTATGATGCCACATTATAATTACCACCTCACATCTACCAATCAATTTTATCATCATGCTGAATTACTCATGCCATTTCACAAGCAATAATATAAGTGAACGTGACAAGTGCATATGACACCAACAGCCGCTAGAGCGCCTGAAGATTGCCACAATGATAATAGATCCTCCTGATGTTGTTGTCTCTAAAGTACCGAGTTCAAATGCCGTATATATCTGTGCATATGTACATATCATGATATGGGCAATGCAGGTTACTGTATAATATGCAAGTCGGGTTATGTACACATATTCGATAATTTTCATCATAATGACATTTGGAAATTGACCCCAAGTTGGAATATTCTAGGCTCACTACTGCATCTATTAATCTAGATGCTATGTACAAATATTTCAATATGACCAAAGAAAAAGAAAGCGTTTTAACATTTAGAACCAAATTTATGATTGATTTCATTCTAATTCTTAAATTGGGTAAAAATCATCCAACCAAAGGTCCTATTTCATTATTTATCCCAATATAATCACACACTTTCTGGCATCTGACTTGTAATCCAATAGTTGACTTGGCAAAAATCATCCAACCATTTGGTTGAAATAATTTTTTATCTTAAAGTAAGCCTATACTTTTATTACCTATAATTCATCTCTATTTCGCTTTTAAAGGCCAAACTGCCTTTACTCTTCTTTTACTTCATGCAGCCTTAATTATACCAGCACTTTACCTCATAAAATACAAGATTTCCAAATATCCTGTGACCACTTTGATGCCATGTTTTATTTTACCTCAGTCGAACTTTACATACACATTTTCACACACAAGAACCGTTTCCCTGCCCAAGTTCAAACTAAGACCATTTCGACTTTCTGATTATATATTATATTAAATTTAGGTAATATTTCAACTGTCAAAGATGGATCAAACTCTCTTGTCTGACTGTCTACTATATAATATTAACTTGTACTAGTATAGTCATGTCTGAATAGAGTTTACATCATGTAACACTGTGTGTNAGATAAGAAGACATATTGGCACAGTCAGAGTAGGGAACGCCACGTCCAGGGGGATCTTGATAGCACCTTTTCCCGTCAGGCCTGGGATTCGACATCTGTCCTCACATGTGACATAAATGTCATCTAGTGTGTCTGGCGGGATGGAATGAAATGAGACCAGCCTGGAAAGAGAATGAAAGAAGACATTATGTCACAGACATACACTTGTAATTCCAAGTTTTGTTTTTAAGTTTCAGAATTCATTTCTGACAAATTCTTTAGTAAGATGCTGTACAAGTGACTACTGACCCCAGCATTGCTTACAGAAATACTGCTTTTTTTAATACTAGTAAACATGTACCACAGGGCTACCATTTAGTATGTTAAAAAAATTGTAATTTGGAAAATTTGTAAACTGTCTACTGCCGCAACAAACAACATTTTCTACAAAACTTAACAAAATTGATGCTTTAAGTAGACAGAAGGTATGTTTATGAGAAAAAAAAAATACTGTGAACAGTAATATATCTAATCATTAAAAAGTCCAGTAATTAG